TACATGACAGAGAAACAGAGCAGCACAGTCAATTTTCGCGCCCTGATCTTGTGCTTTCTAATCCGAGTAATCGGTGGATCTTGTGTTAGTATTCTCTGTTGTAGAGAATACAATGGGCTCCAGACTCTCCTTGATCCAAGCGAACAGACGTGATCGCATCCTGAAGGATGCCACCCGAAAAGAAGACAATCGAAATCCAGCCCCCATGGAACGTCTTCTTTCCATTCAAATGGAGTCGTTGGGCCTGATTGAGTTGGAAGAAATTCGGAGGGCGATGAAAGGCTGGCAAAGTGAGACAACAATACTAGCTGTTATCTCCTTTCGAGAAGACGGGTGGGTGGAGGAAGGCTTCGAAATAAACCACACGATCCTGGATTATGTTACCCTGAAGAACCGCGTTCATAGGTTGAAGTCGCTAGTCGCAGGGGGTCAGGCCGCAATGTATGTGTTCCGCCAGCCCGGAGATCATTCCGATGCGTCTCATGCTACTATCGCTAGTACTGGTGAGTACGATTTGTGTCATGTTATGTGTGTGTGTGTGTATACATGTATGTGCATGTGCATGTGTGTTGTATTTGTGCGTGTGATTGCGTGTTTGATTGCGTTGTGGTGTGTACGTGTATGTGCGTTTACATGTACATGTATGTTCGTGTGCATGTACATGTACATGCATGTGTGTTGATGTGTATGTGTGTTTACGTGCAGGCGCGATTGTACATCCATGGCTGTAACGTGAGGGTTGCCGAGAATTTCACAGCAAATTTATTTACTAGTAGATAGTACTTTGACCCCGAAAACCATTTACAGGAGAAGAGCTGTTTTCTCTGTTGTTAGTTGGCTTCTAGCCACCAGACTCCAGACATGATAATATATGTACATTTGTTTGGATATGTTTTCATGGGTTGCCGCCCCTTTAATCGTATCATTGCTTTTCGGTAGCGAATTGCATTGTAATATCGCTGGCACATAAGGGTACTTTTTCCGGTAAGTTGCATGGATGATTGGTGCATGTACATGTATATGCATGTGCATGTGCATGAAAAAGAGGACCAGAACCAGAGGAATTTCTGGCCATAAGCTTTGTATGGTCCATCTATATTCAATGATTTCAAGCGGCATCTGCCAAATACTTTGAGTGTTCAATGTTTCGCCAAGGTCTACTCCCGGTCAGTCCAAGGAAGACAAGTAGACTTTCTTGTAAAGCAGAGCTGCAATAATGAAAGAGAAAGGATAAAATCACCTGGCAACAGTTTTCTTTCGGTGTGGGTTTGTATGTGTGCAATCATCACAGTATGTTTGTGCTCTTCACTGTTTTTCAGGGTATTTGTTTGTTTGTTGGCGTGTGTGATTATGTCCTTGGGTGCTGTCACTGTGTGCTTCATCTGGTGTGCGTGTTGGTGTGTGTGTTGAATGTGTGTGTTTGTGTGTATGGGTGTGTGTGTGCGTGTGCGTGGGTTTTTGTACTCTAAGATCAGCGCATCCAGTGATGTGCCGTTGAACGTTGATGCCCAATATTTACAGCATCCAGCCCTGAACAAAACATTTCTACAATTCATGGTCAAAGTGAAGAAATCATGGATGTCGTCTTTTCTCTGTTTTTTTTTCTCTCTGATCTCTTCCTTGCTGTCGACGACATGCAGCTTCTTCCGATGTGGATCTTGTAGCCGATTACCCCAGACGTAAGCATAGTACTCAGTACATAAAAGGAGACAGTTTTCTTTTAGCTAGCGGAGAGGGCTCAACACCATGATGTGGAGCGATGTTGCACACAAACTGCACAAAGGTGGTTTACAGAGTTTGTTGATGATTGCGTTGTGCAAGACACTCACGCTTGCGACGAACTCTGTTAACCTCCTCTGTGCCTTTGGCGTTCAATGGGTTCATATACTTTATTAAGGCGATAAATAGTATAAGCGAAGCGGACATTACGAAATGATCAATGAGAATACATGTATGTTAAAATTGATGTTCCTAATCGATTGTATCGCCTTAATTAATGTTATTGTCTCCTCGTCGCCAGTTCATGTACTGTACATAAATATATACATGTATAAACCATCGACTCCCAATGCCCAAAACTAAGCTGGTTAGCAGTTGAACCTGATGAAAGAGCACTGGGTTCGGTTATTAGCTAAACTTATTTTCACTGCCAACTACTGTGTTGAGTACTGGATCATCGATCTGCTTCCGTGGACGATTTACACTTAGTGGCTGATATGCATAGCACCAATGGCTCATTCTCTATCCAGGCTCTACTGTCAAATAATTATGACTTCAGACAGTATCCTGGCGCAAGCGAGTACGATGCTTAGATAATATAGAAACTACATGTATTACGACATAAGTAGCTCATTATGCAAACGTCGGTTGCGTGTCTGTTGCTTTTCACTGTATTTACTTGACGTTCTCTTTCTGAAGTACGGAGTTGTTGTTGCTGGTGATTTTGCTACTCTTTGATTTTCCCTCGACTTGTTTTATTTATCGCCCTGGTTGGCAATCACCCACTTTCTTAACTTATATTGGCCGGTGTTTCCACCGAGTCTTGAGATGTTAGAAAAAGGTTTCCTACGCATACTCGAGCTCACGCTCTTCCGCGGATTTGACTTGATACTTGACTGACTCACGGTTGCCATCCAGAGCACACGAGAAGTCCATCGAACCTTCGACTCGGCAAACCTGCAAGAAAGCACCACTCCCTGCTCCATACACAGTGTTTCGGGAATTCACCCCTCATCAGTGGGGGAGCAAACCATTTTCTTACAAATCATCCCCGAAGTCGCAACCACTATTTTCGTCTTGAGATGTAATAAAAAAATTAAAACCCGGAGTACAGTCAAAGTGCTAATGCTTGAGGTTAATTTTGAGGAGTTTCACCACTGTTTTGTACTTGTGTTGATTTGCAGCTGGACCGAACGGGGAGAGCACCATGGACGAGATCCACCAACGTGGCCTTTATGCCATCTTTTACTACCCCGGTCATGAGCCTCTAGCTGAAGGAAGTGGATCTGACCAGACGCTTCCAACTGAGCCTCTAACGCGTGTGGTGATCCAGCAGGTCAGCTTTGATGGCCGGCAGTTCGAATTGGAGAACAGATTTCTGGGCCTGAGATCGGTCGAGGGTTCCCATGAGACTGCTTCTGGGGTGCAGAATGGTGTGATGTGGGAGCCGGCGATGATTACTGTTCCAGTAGCCTACAATCAGGTGGCATGCAAAGTCGCCCTTGACGACCCGACGCTCTACTGGAACACCCAAGCTGGCCAACTTGACGGCAGCTGGTTCAAGCTCCGCACAGCGCTCGACGCCCACATCATGCTCTGCCGTCCTAACCAACCTCAGTCGTTACTCACCCTGTGCATGGAGAAAGATGCAGACAAATACTCGACGGACCTTCAACTGTATCAAGAATTTCCCGCAGAGAATCATACCTAAGGTTTTCAGTATTTTTTCAGCACTTGAGAGCCTTTCCTGTGTGTGCTGCAAATATACCCTCAGCACTTTATCATCATTCTCCTTGCCTATCAGAGCTTATCATAACAGAATGGGCCTCTGCGTAAAGCGTTGTAACGGTGTATTAGTGCCCGCCATCGAGTTGCTCGCAAGCTATCCATGTGGTATAGTTCTGTGCTTTAAGGCTTCGTTCTGCCCAGGCGTGGGCCCATAAATGTTGTGAATCTCATTGGTCTTCGAATTTGATTTTTGACATTGAGCTGTTCATGTATTCTTCAGCGGAATTAGACGACCTGTTTGCAAAGTACAATGCGAACGTGACCTCCCTGGATTTAAAAAAAGACGTCAAAAATCGTATTTGTTTGCGAGGGAACTCACGCCGGCCGCTAGCACCCAGAACATCCAGCGGATGTTTTTTCAACAATAGAGAAGACAGAATGTTACGAGTTATGACTAAATGTCCACCAATGTAACCAGATCTTATACAGTCAGCGAGTACGACAAAATACCACAATTTGTTTGTCGCACTCGCCGACTGTATAAGATCTGGTTACATTGGTGGACAGTTAGTCATAACTGGTAACAATTTATCCTATTCTCTTTTTTCACCATCATTTAATTGGCTCACCATCCTAGTTCAACATTGTGCCTAAATAGTGAGTATTTCAGCAGACAGAAAATGATTCACTCTCGTGGATGCGGAAATATTCAACTCCATTGAGACTCTGGAAAGCCGAAAAAATATTTATTTACATACTGAAAACGGTATCAGGATTTTTACATGGTAAGACAGCCTTGTCTTGGGATCTGGCCAGATCGACCTGAGCAGTGACAGCTTCAAGTTCATATTTTGAAGTCTATCTCACCCTGGAGTCCTGGACGAGTGTTTTTCGTCGTTTCTTTGCTGATGTAGATTGAACCATACATTCATATTATTGATCATGAGTACGGTTGAATTGATTGGATCAACTGCTGGAAAGTTGCTCTTTCCCCAGGAACTGGTGCTGGTTCTGCTCGAAAAAATCAGCTTAGTTCTGAATCGCGAACACGTGATGCTGGACAGCTCAACGGGCGACAGAAATCGCCCAAGCTGTGTCCTTTGCGACCTCAGAGCCAACTTGGGTCAAAGTACTCCCTCTTTTTGATACTGTTGCACGTGGTGTGCAGTTCAGTATGCCTCATCGCCTTGACAGAACTTTGACATGATGTTAGCTGTGAAGGGGATTCCAGAGGATCCTGTCACTTGATTCATAGGGCGCTGCAGCAGAGCCATGTGAGAAAATCCCTTTGGCCCCGTGTTTATCTTCACGCCAGGGCAGGGATGTTGAGAGTGGCGCACTTGTTCGGGAAGCACACGTGGCTCATAATGTCAGAGGCTAAAGGAGTAACTGAGTCTTGTAGCCCTAAACCCAGGATAGGCGAAGTATGGTACGAAATGGTAGAGAACCGCGACCATGAACTACAGTGTATTTCAAACATCACGGACAAATCACGTGAATAGATGCAGCATCTGTCGTTTTAGACCCGATAAAAGCTCAACCTGCTCAAGCTCAGCGGTCACTGGCTGAGCAACCTTTCTGCAGTGGAGTTCTCTAAGCGACAACAGCAATCATGACCGACGAGGTTACAAAGTTGAAGACGGTGGATATCAGATCCCTGGCAACATTGCAAGGCTTTGACGAGGACGAACTGGTGCGGCAATTTTCTGAACGCACAGAGGTTTACACCCTCCGGAAGTCTAAGCCGGGCGACGAAGCCGTTAGGGGCAAGGGCCTGCAAGATCCACCGCCGATCTGTGGCGATGTTCACTACCGTATCGACACCGTGTCGCGCGCAGCAAGCAAAAAAGATGGCGATAAATGCATCATCCGATGCCTGGCTCCCGTTGCGCTGCCAATAGGTAGTGAACATCCCGGTAAGGATATAACCAACTCCAGATTTAGAGTCCTGATGGCGACAGCCATTTTTGTCTGAGGACATTTCCCTCAACCAGTGAACATCCAGATTTACCTTCAAGAATGTAGATACGTCGTAAACATTCCCCGGTTTAGTATGCTGTATATTGCACCACGCATCATTCGGATCGGTTGGCCGAAGCTCGAGGTTGCGAACCGCACCATGAGTAGCCCGCCTGAAATACAGAATGGCAACCGTCCGCACAGAAGTTACATTGTAACATACCATTGTAAAAAAAGAACTATTCATTATCAACGTGCGAACAGCTTGACTCTTTCACCCTGACAGTAGACTACGCCCGGAAAGTTTGTGAAAGAAGTACAGGGAGCACTGCAGCAGAGAGACCGTGCGCGAATTGAGCAAGGGAAACATGAATGAATGTTGATTGCATGGAGCTGGACAATATTGTAAAAACGTTCATGGCGTACGATTAAATTTAATGGGACTAAGCAATACGCATTCTCCATAGTTCTTTGAAAAAAGGCAGTGGCCAGCATTTGGAGAATTTAGAAACAGCGGACTATAGTATCATATCCAGAAGGAAGGACGGATATTGTAATTTCGGACTCGGATGGAGAGGCAAGGATAATTTTTTGGAGACAATAAGAAAAAGGACCAAGAAAGTACAAGTTACGCTATAATGTCCACTAACACCACCAGTTAGTTGTAGAACATCAGTACTGTCGCTCAGCGTTGTGCAATGTTATCGCACGAGCTGACTGTTTACTAACTGGTGGCGTTAGTGGACTTTATAATTAATTAATTATTATTAATTTTTTAGAGCAACTTGTAGTTTCATGGTGTCAGTGGACTTTATAATTATTATTCTAGAGCAACTTGTAGTTTCGTGGTCCTAAAATATTGCAATGTCTTGAACAAAAAATTGGAAGCGTCTGCAATTCTTGAATGTAGCACATGCACCTGCCCAATCCACACCAGTCCAAATGAACACTAGGACATTTTAATTGAAAATGTTTCGCAGCAGTTCCAGCTAGTACTTGATAGTCAACATTCTGTGCAGCATAATCAACGGCGCATACCTGTACCGCCTACATGTATGAAGCCACATCTATGCGCTATAAATCTCTCTGGCTCCGAAAAAGTTATCGTGACAAGCCAAAAGTGATAAAAAGAGTTGAAGAAGAAATTGCGATAGCGAAAATCACATTGTGTAGTTGAAGAACTGTACTGCATGCCATTGTCTTTACTTGTGTTGTCCAGGAAGAAGGGCTGAATCGGAGACGATTCTTATGGCCGAGCCCATTCCTCCCGTCAGGAAGGAGGATTCTGCGAAGGAACCTTGTAAGTTCCTTTAGTAGGAAAACTTTGGAATATACAAAAGGTAACAGATGCAGATCGAGTAGAGAGGATAGGCATGAAACTTGAACACGCAGCATTAAAAATCTTGTGAGTTAAACTTCCATGCCGAAGCAAGTAATGTTTTTTTTACTGGAATGATCATTATGATTTTGCTCGTCTTCGTCCTAATATGTTGCGAAACTCACTCACGAGAAGTAAATAATGATTATGTCAGGTTTAAACAACAGTTACTAGGGTCAGTTAGACATAGGGGAAGCAGCTGCGTTCGGTTCTGTACAGATTTTGTATTCACCACCATACCATATCTGCCCTCTCCAGCCAATCTCGACACGACGTTGCCACACCTCACCACCAGAAACGGGACACACTAGTGAGGTTTGGCATTATGAAGTTCGGTTCGCCCTTCTTTAGTCATTTAAAAAATGACTTTTGTCCATGGCCAAGTCAAATTTTATTCGTATCGCCTTGTATTTTTAGCCGCACAGATGATGATAAGGACAAGGCTTTCCCCAAATCGGCTGGCCGAAATATTCGCCGAAAACGAGACTTATGATCGAAAAATCGATCAGCCTTTCGCCGATTTTGGAGGGTTCCTTTGAGAATCGCCTAAAATCTACCAAAATTAATGTTGTTGCAACGTGCGTTTACGAACGAATGATGTTGCTGCAAGCATGACCGCTCGAGCTCTCTACTTCAGTACTTCTTGTAGCACTGTAGTGTGTTGAGGTCGTCTGACTCGTGTCCTTTGACCTCCCCTTAAACAAACATCAGCCATTAGGAAGATCGTTATTAATTTTAGTAAAATCCCCCAATCGGGGGGGGGGGGGGGAATTCGCCGAGAACGAGGCGTATCGAAAAATCGCTAAGTTTTTCGCCGATTTTGGAGGGTTTCTTTGAGAATCGCAGAAAATTTGCCAAATCTTCCAATATCTCACCGATCTTGAAGCCAATATGCCAACAATATGTTTAGGTGATCTTCCGATATATTCCAATTTTGCAGCCGATTTTCGAACAATCAGCCAATTTTTCAGCCGAATATGATGTATTTTTGAGCTTAGCGAAAAGCCGAAAAAAACGATCCGATTTGGGGAAAGTAGGGGTGAAAGTTGGCACTGAGATGCCGAGTTCGAGTACTCTGATTTTCTCCGATCGAATATTCGAGTATTCGAGTATTCTTCATCACCTAAAAATTGCACACCAAGGGCCTTAAAATCACATGATACAACCCTGATCGAAGCGAGTAGCAGTCATTTTTCTCGGGTATATTGGTTGGTGGGTCGTTTGGGCTCTCTCTACTCGTGAACAAATGTTCACCACACAGTCTGCACATCAATATCTACCGACTGCTGCTCTGCAACTGCAGATATCTGTGGTAAATGCATGTATCATGTATGAACGAGTACTCTGATTTATTCCGAGTACGATTATTTTTGAAAAAACCGAGCGAGTACTCGAGTATTCGGTATAATTGTTTCAGCCCTAGGGGAAAGCCTAATGAGGACACTCCAAATGAAAGGGAGTAGACAGGCAATGGAGAGGGGCAATCAGAGGTAGCTGCGGGGAGTAGCCAGGATAGTGATCAAGGGGGGGGGGTGCCACAACTTTCCCACACAAAAGTACATGCCTTTACATGTTTGTTGGGCCTTCCATGCATAGTACTTGATCCGTGATATGGAGTAGTGGGGGGGGGGGGGGGGGAGGGCAAAATTAGCCCCACATTTGATGATGAAGATCATTCAGTGAATGACAGACCTCCAACCCAAGGAGTAATGATATGGTATTTTACTACTCTCTGCTTGCAACATCGTGAAGTGAGGCATAATTGATCTACACTATTTCCCACAAAAAAAGCAAACTGCACATCAACGCTACCTTCACTCTGCTTTTGCTGTATCCACACTTGCAATACATGAAAGAAACGTCTTTGCCTTTCCGCAACCTGCAACGCGACCAATCAGCAGCCAGAACGGCATTATACTGAAAATTGCTCCACCAAACGGCTATGTCTGACGTATGTTTTCCATAGACTGTATTCCTACTTTACCCATGGCTTGTTTTGTTATGATTCTTTGCTTCTAACAAAACATGTGGTGAGCCCGCTGAGGTCTGAAATGAGAGGGAACAGCGGCAGGTACAAAGCGAAGTTGCCATAGACTAGTAGTTTCATTTAAATAATGGCCAATCACGGGACAAAATAGTCAACTGAACTTGGATTGGTTTCAGATGCATTGTAGGTCTGAACCAGGGAGTAGTACAATACATAGAATACCTCCTACTTCCAGGTCTGAGCAGGGATAGCTACAGTGTGCGATGTGCACAGTGTGTGATGAGCGGTCTGCGTATTATGGTCTCTCTCGAACCAGCTGAGAACCAAGATGGAAATTTTTGAGGGGGTGCTTTGGCAATGCCTACGCCCCTGCAAATACAGTAATAAGCTGACGATATTGATGTTGCTTAAGACGCCTACGAAGCCATACCGAGACGAGAAATATCTTAGAATAAAACACGTGCTTGCGCGTTTCTACAAGAAAATTCTTCCAAAAATTACTTCCGCGAAGTGAGCTTTTTCCAACAAACATTCCGAATGTTCGAGTGCATTTTCGACCTCGCTCCCGCGTGCCGAATCTATTGCGGAATGTCAGAATGCTAAAACCTCACTATTATCACCAGTTTAGTTTTTTCAGTCTTTTGCACTTGGATGTTCTGCTTACCACTAACCTTTGCGCATCAGCCACCCGCATCATACTCATCTCTTTCAGGTATAAAAGGGCGATTTTGTATACCTTAGCCATTCTACAATGCCTACATGTGCCGTAACTGACTGGAGAGCTCACTGCTCTAAACAACTGTATCAAGGAATTCTCTACCAACGGATGTATCGCGTTGTTGTGCTGTAGCACCGTCGTGCTGGAGAGCGCAGTTATGTTCTGGTGGTTCTTGACATTAAAACAACAGCTGCCTTACGATATGATTTCATGAATTGTTTTAGATCACAATATCCATCTAGCTGGGCTTAATCATTACAGCTACATATAGGATCTTTAGATGAGCAGAACTACCGGCCATGGATGATAACTTTCATCACAGACATTTACATGTAAATAGTTTGTCGACCTAGTGCAAGATTACTCAAACAACGGAGAATTATCGGCGGATGGGAGCATGCCAAAGTTTCTTTTTTTCCTTCCGGATTCACACCGCCACTCCACATTGCGCTCTTGAGAGAAAAGTGGTGGTGTGTTTCAAATTTTCAAAAGGCTGAGTTCGTAGCGGCTTCTACGCTGCCTGACACCGTGTTCGAATATCTGTTTTTATGTCCTTGCAGTTTACGATGCAACCATTGGCGCCTCTGGTCTCTTCTTTGTGCATGTCCTGGCTGACAAAGCAAGCGCTGGACGTAGCAAGGTTGAGTTGGCCGACAACATGACGGATGGTGGCCAGCAGTCCGCGCACATGGTGGTTGAGCCGCCCATATCGGACGGACGGTCAGAAGGAACATGGTATCGGGCTGTGATCCAGGCTGCCAAGCAAGTGGGTGACCAGCTCTGGTACCCGGATAACGCCTTTCTCGGCCTGAAGGCCAAGTCGATTCCACCAGCAAACGGTGTAGCAACCGACAGCGCCGGTCTTCAGCTAGACGTTGTCATGGTCTCCTTGGTAGCCACTCCTGAAACACCAGTCACGCATAAGCTGGCCATGCTGGACGGCAGGACGTGGTGGTATATGCTTTTTGACGACCTGGACGAGGGAAAGTTCACGCTTCATGCCTCGTTCGACAAAGACGTCTATCTATGTCGCCAGGGTAGCGGTACGAATCAACGCCTGATCCTGTGCCCCAAATATGATATGAGCGAAATATTCTTCAAACTGGTCAACGAATTCAACGAAAAATGCCCCGAAAATTAGAACAGGCAGTGATGGTCTTGATTGTCTCCATGGAGACCTCAGCGAATCAGATTATCCTCTGTTACATTCTAGTAGAGAGAGAACTTGTAGAATCACATGTCACTGTTAAAACATGAACTGGCATTATTTCAATGGTAAGAAGGCCATAGGCCTGGTGGGTATATCCAAGTATAATGATAATCAGAAGCCGCTGGTTTTTACCTAAGTAACTGTAAAAAAGTCTACTTATACCGCTATTTCATTTGCGTTTTCACTTTTTTATTAATTCTTTTTCCTGGAAATACATGTATACTACTGGCGAACATTGCATGCGTATATTAATGCAAAATTAAATTTTAATCTGAGTCTCCCCCCCCCCCTCAATCATATTCAGACACACACATTCATTTTTTTGTCTTCACTCTCTTTCCCTGGATCCTTCCCACTTCTATGATGCAAGAGTAGCAACAATTTTAACGACAATGTTCAACAGGTTCCACAGCATGAAATTGTGATCACTACTGACCGAGTGTCAACAAAAATTGTGTGTATCAGTTTTAATTCGAAGACCTCCATAATGATACTATTATTATGATGTGTGGCGGCTCGCCTGGTATCGCCCACGTGGGCGCAGTAGCAGGAGTGCAGTGTAGACGCTGGTGTAGCTGGACTGACTCAGGGCACTGCCGCGAACAAACTGACCGTGCCATTTTTGTCGCCGAAGCCCATGTAGCATTTACTACTACTCCACATGTATGTAGTATTACCTGATTTGAAGATCGCAGCCAGTGATCCATCAGACAGCTAACTACAAGTACGTGACTCTACATGTGCTGTGCATGTAGTTATTCGACAGAAATGAGGCCTGAGACTCTCCATCCAGTGCAGAAAATCGAAGTGGGGCAAAAAAATGCACTTCAATCTTCCAAAAACACTTCAAACTCACTGATAGTATTACACTTCGAATTAAGTGCAGCTAGGAAAATGTTAATGACAAGCCAGTACATAAAGTAGCAAATAGGGACTTTTGTACGCAAAGTGACCAAATGGAAAGGATATCACAGAGCAGAGCATGAATTTGGCTTCCTTAGAGCCCGATGTTGCTTTGTTGTTTCTTGTTGGGGATGGGAGGGGGAGGGGTGGGGAGGTTGCACAATAATGGTAGTGAAATGAACGATCCTCGTGCTAAGCCTTCCAACCGTCATTCACACGGAGAAAAAAGGACTTGAACTCACGGAAAACCGGATTTTCTGTTGTTGAGACGATACCTTGTATTGAGAACTCACTAAATCGGCCTAGCATTCTGTCATTGAGGCTTGCTTCTGCCCTGATATCAACATTCCAAGGATTTAGTTCCATAGGGTTGCTTTTCGCGACTGTCTCTCATCTTGTCATCCTCAGTTCAATCTGTCACCAAGGAGTTATCTTAGGACTGTGCAGTTGGCGGCGCCTGTCAAGAAGCATCCATTCATGGAGCCCTGGGCGCCCTGTTTGACTTGTGTGTGACGCATGCAACTGGTTCGGGGACTAGTAGGGGCGGTTTTGCGATGGCATCCCGAGAGCATGGAGTGTCGACTCTACGGAATACTTCTTCCAGAGTTACCGTTCTTCGTTGCAGCACAGATTATGGAGTCGAACTCAAAATCCATTGTCATTAAGAAAAGCGTGTGTCCTATTCGTTAGCGCAAAGTAAGTCCTGACCAATACCCATTTCAATTAGTGGCGAAGCTTTCCCTGACAATCGGGTTTCAGTTCAATCCCTTGAAATACATCCACTGGTTTGGCTTTGGCTCGATACTGATTTATTCCATGTAATAGCCAACCAGTTCGCCATGGCTTATCAAACCCACAAGCCGCCTATATCGCACGATAGCTGCAGTTGCAGAACCTGCATCGGTGACTTTACAACGGAGTACTACTTCCTGAAGCCGGTGTCTATTGCTTCGCCGTCGACTGCTGACTATATTGTCCGTGAGTACACTTTAAAATACACAAAACTCTACTTCTACTTGGGCTCTGAAGCCGACCATTGCTACCCTCGGTTTTTCAAAAGAAACACCCGAATGGTACCGTTCATAGTTTTAAAGATATGCTTGAGTGCACTACCAGATCATATCCACACAAGGTGAAGCAGATCACATTATTATGCTAGAACAGAATTGAGGCGGTTGAACAATGTAAATCTCCTACGCAGCATGAAAAAGGTATAGTGTTTTTCACCACCTATGCTCTAGACGAGGATATAAAATATAGGCGACAAAGAAACATCAGACGCCTTTCCAATGTCGTAAGCATTCAGGCCAGCTAAACCCTATTCAAGTTCTGCTTGGAAGCGGAAGGAATATTGCAGCCGTGCTGCGACCCACAGTTACATGCTACTGGAAACTCTTGGCATGGAGCTAGGGACCGGCGGATTCTGCTCCAAAAGGTGGCAGATTCTGCTCGAAAAGCAGAAAAATGGCAGAACCATACAAACCTTATGGCGGGCAATTCCTCGAATTCTGCTCCATTCCTTTATCAATATACCAAACATGCATGAAACTTACCAGAAAAAGTACAGAATTCTGCCAACTTTTCTGCCGGAAGAATCCGCTGGACCCTACATGGAGCGAGGGAAGCACGGATGCAGCGAATAGAATTTACGGTCCTTGACGACTTTGTGGTGGGTCTGATCAACTCACCTCCTACCGCTTTAGGTGCTGCATCTGTGCCTTGAACTATAGAGGGTGGTGGTGCATGGGGAAAACTCGGAGTCCAGTCGAGTCTCACGGACCGTCAATTATTTATTTCCATGATGATGCCCAATGGGCATCATGTTGGGAGAAACCTTTGTCGGGCAGCTGAGGGCCTGTTCGCGGATGCCCGTGTTCACAAGTAGAGCGAGTACACAAAAACAGAAAAATGCGTTGTCATGATCAGGGCTACACAAAACGCGTTATTGTCAGAGGCTTCTTTCATAAGTACATGTAGGTGTAATGTACTTGATGCGAGGACTAGCATATCCGTTGTTCACAGCATTCAACTGTGTCGTTTTGAACCGTCAAATCGGATATTCCAGCACATTGATCGTATTTATGCACTCCACGCACTGGAATTGTGATACATTAAAATTTTTAGAATGTTCGCAGCTCAAAGAGCAAAGACAAACCATTTGCCTAAGGGAGCATGGTGATGGTGGTGCTGGAGAATTCCGCCCATAGTGCATTAAGAATGGAGAGCTGCTTGTGTTCTAATTCTTCAGGGATCTCCGGCAGCGGTTCCGGCGAAGAGCTCTACTCTCAAACAGACCCAGGTAATGTCTTTGTGATGCATTCTCTTGTCGCAGTAGCACGCGCAGAAGCGCTTCGAGAATGACAACGAAATGGATAAATAACGGCTTTTCAGGCTACGTATATACCGCTACATGTAGCTATTTCTGGAGGTCTTCCTTGATGTTGTTTGCCTGCTGCAACCCCAAATCATGAAACGTAACACAACCAATAAAACCTAATATGGCCGGATTGCTTTTACTTGTGACAAGGATGTTAAAGAATGGTGTTTAGAAGCATAAAGGTTTTCTGGAAAGTGGTAATGGCTCTCTGAATTGCGGGGGTCCGTCAGGTGTCATGTGTGAATTCCAGTATCATAATAATATGTACAAGCGCAGAGCTCGGTTCTAGGTTATGTCATTACCTCTTTCTTTGCTCACGTACTGCTCATCACTTCCTTTACAGATTTGGTTTAATGGAAAGTTCGGAAACCCCTCGAAAGGCGAGTGTCTCTGGGGAATCCTTTTAAAAAGCAATAACAAATTACAATTACTAAAAAGCTGTGGAAATCCACAGTATCGGTTTCCTTGCGCTCGAACCAAAATTTTTTTCTGACTCTGAGGTGCACAGAAGACATTATAAGTGTCGACGATTGAGCAAAATCAATTCCCCAATGTAGCTAATGGGAGCAGGGTGAAAGTTTGCCATCCAGCCCAGTCCAGCTGTTAATACACAGCACTGGACTGGGGCACAAGATTCTCAAGCCCCCCATTCACTTGCCATCTTTGGTGCAGCCAACTACCTCGTGAGGAATCATTGTGAAACGGCTTTCAAGTTTTTGCACTCGTTTTCGTTCTGTTTCCTTCCCGATTACACGGCGAACACGTATCCTTTTCGTGTCCTTCTCGAAATGGGTTACAACGAAATGACTGAGACTGCAACTATATGGGCGATGCATTAAAGGTGTGAACAAGGTGTAGTAGCCGCGCCTCCTTTGCAATCCTTTTTATTAATTGTTTCCTGGTTCGCGACTTGTATGCCTATTTTTATGCAGTTGATCCCCTTTTGAACGGCATATACGGGGTGCACACGTGTAGCCACAACACGACTTGCAATTATGCACCCACCGAGCCAGAGCGTATCACCTTTCAGAAGGTAACACCCGAAATCCAAAGTACGGAGCTAGCCAAGGTGAACAAACTTGCAACCGCTGTTCCTTATCCAGTCTTTAGCGGGTCGACGTTCGAGAAAACCGGCCCAGTGACAACCGCGACATGGGAGTGGAGCGTGGAAGTGAAGAGTATTCCATCAGTCATTTCACCTGTGGAAGCGCTTTTCAATCCCGGTTCCTATTTCACCAGGAAGTACACATCGGGACAGGTCTTCCGCCTGCATTCGTCCGTTGATGACACAATCGTCCTAGCTGTAAGTACAGACGCGACGCCAAACGGGTACAAACTGAGCATGCTACCCCTAGCAACGGCGGAAACGGCGAGTAATGTATGTGAGTACGAATTAGCCCCAGTACCAAACGAGAATCTTCGTAGGCCGATACTAATGAGCAGCATCTAGACCTTGATTTTCACAATAGGACGTTCATGATGCATAACTCATTGTCTGACTTGTTCTCTCTACAACAGAGTGCTTGCACTCCACGCCCCAAGTTGCATAAACTCATACTAATAATTATTATGTTCGCTCGTAATATTTGTACCTACATCATTTACATGTCTTATGATAATCCAGAATTTAACGTGAGCCTACGATCATCAGGCAATGTGCTGCAGGAAGCCTCTGTAAGCACCTGTTAACACTTTGCTTTCTCTGTGCGATGCGAATAAGTCTGTAAAATCCTGGCTGGAAGCACTCTTCGGGCAGTGCAACACCTTTTGCTCGTACATGTAATTGTGGACAGTTACATGCACATTAAATTCGCTCCTTTTCACTAATCATATATTATCTTTTCATTTATTCCGACATGTGGTGGATAAAATTATACTCCACAGATGACATGAGTCACGTACCTCGGTGGTGAGTTCTATTCATCAAAGTCAACCATATATTGGCAAGATACCGTACATGACATTTTAAAAAGGAGAAGAAACACATGAGAACGAGTTATGCAGCAACTCTCCACGATTGTAACAAGATGATAAACAGTCAGAGAGTGCGATAATAGGGCACACAACTGGCAGGCTACTGAGCCATTCGGCGACTCTAGACCTAGCTCTTACACATCCCCTGTGCGAAAACCAACAGCCTTCCAACTTGGAAGGTTCATGGCTACATAGGACCGAAGAGAGGAAGGCAAGCACAGCGAAAATGTGCACAAACTAAGTCCCAGGGCAACAAAGAATGCCGACTGTTACAGGACGATGACGAGACCAGTTAATAACATGACAATGTGTTCTAACTACAATTTGAAACAGTGAGACTTAGTTTGTGCACATTTTCGCTGCGCTCACCTTCCCCGATTCGGTCCCATGTAATCATGAACCTACCAAGTGGGAAGGCTGTTGGGTTGCGCATTGGAGATGTGTTTGAGCTAGGTCTCGGGTCGCTGAATGTCTCAGTATTATTATTATTATTATTATTAAAAGCATGTTCGCATAGGTGGCGGGGGTGCCACTTTCGCTTATGCCATTCAGGATGTCTGAAGAGTAATACGATACAATGAAATGACAGAAGTGACGTCAACAAAAGCCGTTAGCAACAACACCAATATGACTAATGGAAAACTTCATCCAAAGTATAAAATAAAATAGAATATGCATACAACATGTCTGGTAAGTCCTGTTAGGTGGGGCGGGCTCCACGCCATGCCTGTCGGTCCGCTGCCATTGTGCGGACTGCGTCAACATCTAGCGGCTGGTGTAGGGTAAGTCCATGCCATGATAACAGTTCCGTCTGCAAGACCGTTACCAAAGTCGTCCGAGGTCGACCCCTGAAGCGTTCAGTGCCCTCTTCGTTGGCCAGGCGAAGATACATATCCACTGCCAACTGTGGAGGAGCAGTTGGGGCCAAACGAAAAATATGGCCAGCGAGACTGTAGCGCTGCCTTGCGATCATCTCGCTGATGGGGACAGCTCCGCAGCGCTCATACAGAGTGTCATTGCTAATTCGTTTAGGGTACCGCATGTCGATGATGCTCCTTAGCTGGGTCCTGTGGAACGAATCCATTCGCGCGAGCTCCGACATCGGTAGGCCCCAAGTGCCGCAGTTGTAGGTAAGGACTGGGATGACGTAGGCGTTGTAGAGCCTCAGCCGAAGACCTTCACTGATCTGGCGCCTCCGGGTCCAGATCTTGAGGAGTGAGTTGAAGGCGGCGGCGGCCAGTCGACGCCTCCGAGCAGCATCTTCGGCGTCACCCAGGAGGGAGCCTAGTTTGCGGACAGTACGCCACGTTTCTTGGTTCCTATCGGGAAATCGGGCGACGGTGGTATGCTCTGTCTTGGAGGGATTAACGTTCAGGTTCCATCTCGCAAGAACTGCTGGAGCTTGTTGTTCAACTTCACTGAGAAACGTCTCATCCCGGCTCACAAAATCAACATCGTCCGCGTATGCGATATCCAGCGGCAGGTCATTGTCTCAGTAGCCTGTCAGTTTTGTGCCCTATTATCGCACTTTATGACTGTTTATCATCTTGTTACAGTCGTGGATAGTTGCTGCATACCTCGTTCCCATGTGTTTCTTTTCTTTTTCACATTTATTGCTGGCTCCCTATCCCAGTTTAAATACGTAACATTGTATGCTAAAAGTGATCTATGATACAGTTGGCCCTGGGTTATTACAATTTCTGACGTATTTTTCTTCCATAATGAGCCTTGCAGTGTTCCTGTACCCGATAAAGCTTTGAGAAGTGCGCTTCCTACCATCCCGTTTGTATCTTCTCCTCAAACCAATGAAATGTTATTGCTTGGGGCTCCCCACCTGCCAGTTTATGCGTGACGTGTACGGGTTACAGAGAGGGCTGAGTCCTATCCGCCTGTGTGAATTCACAGGAAGCGTGAGCTTTGAAGTCTGAAGAAAATGTTTTGAAACGGTTTCTGCTGGGATGATACCTACACCATAGCTCAGTGGTACTCTAGAGCATCGCTAGCCTTCAGGGAAAGTCCCTGGTTCGAACCCTAGTATTTCGAGTCAAAACATTTCTTCAGTCTTTTACCGTTTGCATCTTTCCACAAACCCATGAATATAATTATTATTATTACACAGACAGAACAACGAGCAGTTATTTCGTTACTCTGCGTTTCACGAACTGAATCGATCATCAGACGAAAATCAGTTCGCTCATTCTTCTGTCTGTGTATTCCGCCCTTTTTCTTTCGGGGAATAGAGACCTCTACGTGCAGTGGATTAAATTCACAAGAATGCATTCGGGATTGCACTTGGCAGAGTAGTCTAAGCACGGGCCTTCACACCCGATGATAAAGGTTCGATTGCCATTCTGACTGAACCTACCCCCCCCCCCCCCGCCTCCCCCCCCCCCCACCCCACGCCAAATAAGTCCCATCTTGGATTGGCAACACATAATTTCAATTGGGGAGGCAAGGGGCACCTGGGAGGAGATGAAAACCTCAACTCTTAGTCCACCTATCTTTATGTATATATTGCACCTTCCCGTGGCCAGGAATAAGGGTCCATATGGAGGGAGGTGGCGATAGCCAGCCTGGCAGAATAAATAAAGTAAAGTAAATTATCGTGTCCTTTCCCGAAGGGAACTCACGACGGCCGCTACCACCCGGTAAATCCTAGCGGCAGATGCAGCGCCTAACGGTGGGGGTGAGTGGATAAGTCTCACAACCACTGGCACAAGTGCCGAGAACGACCCCATTAGCTGCATCCATGTACCCCTTGTGCCTGGCCACAAGTTCCCAGTTGACTGTGGGTAGCAGCACGGCTGGAAAAACCGCTCCCAGGCCTGGCAGATAAGTCATGTTTAAGTACAGACAGTTCAAATTGACAAATTGCAAGGGGCAATAACCTACACGGCGCGAAGCAAAGTGAAACAAGTCTGAAAGAAAAATAAATATTGTAAATGTTTGACTCCGGCGGGGGTTTAATAATATTGATTGAGTTTTTACATGTAAACACACAAGAAAAGTGGTCCTGTTCCACTGCCAAGAGTGTTCAACAGTTCTAGGATGCACTGGAGCTAGTACACACGGTGGGAGCGATCCTCAGCATGAAAACATATGCGTTGCTACTCGGAGTTTCATGATTTCAAAAGCAGTCATCAGGTAATATAAAAATCTAAAGCAGGGATACGGATCATTACACACAGGAAGGCGCACAAAAGAAAAAAAAGAGCGAAGCGTGAAGTGTGAAGGCGAATATTTAGCAGATAGAGACGGTGTGAAAAGTCCAGTAGAGAAGATCTTCACTGAGATAGGCTTTGGCGTGCAGAGTTCGGGCATGACGGGGTAGGATGAAGGCGTAAGATTCATGCATGCAAGACCTGGTCACACATGCTCCGGTCACACCTTCCTGTGTTACGTTATGGAGCTGATGTCAGCGAGTCGGAGCTTGTTACAGTAGACATGGTAAGCATTTTTACCGTTCACTCTAAATCTAGCCGTGCACTGTACTCGTACCCTGCACCCACAAATCGTAGGTTTGTGATCGCTTTGACGATAGAAAGCTCTGTGTAGAGGAAAAACGAAACTGAAAGATTCCAATTAGGATGACGTCACAAGTCGATCGTTGTGTCAGAAACCGAAATGCTAACCATGCCTTGAAAACACAAAAAAAAACCGGTGCAGGCCGACGGTCGATGTCAGTGTGAACGGTAAAATGCTATCCACGTCTCGTGTCGACGCTTGCTGATGATCTCGCTTCTTTTGTTCATAAACTTCCCTTTGTCAGGGGTGATTAGAATATTATTCTGGTCTAATTTCGGAGATGCAGAGGTTGCATCTCTTTGTTCCGCTGCTGTACGATACGGCCTTGTCCCTGATAGACCAGGCTTGCGTGTACTCCTGGCTGTCGCCCCTCAACTTCCACCAGTGCTTTGATAGCTCATTGCTTTTTTGGTACTTTGCGTGTGTGTGTGTGTGTGTAAGCGACACCGTGTTGTTTTTATACTGTAACTTGAACTGTGTGTCTGACGCACCGACGTAGTACTTGAGTTCATTCGGACTGATGTTTTGAGCTTTTCAGATTATGGTTGGGGTCCGCCATCGGCCATCTAGCGAGCATTCCGCCTTCCTCCGACAGCTGCAAACATATTATACCTCTATATGTGAGCCCTGGAATTTTATTTATTATTATAAAATTACTTGCGCAGATAGAAGAAGGATCAGTTGTTTTTCGTAACCCTGAGTTTCACGAACTGAATCGATCATTAGACGAAGACAGATACTAACCCTGCCCAGAGAGTATTGCTATATACAGCTGTACCATGAATGTGGCAAGCCAAGCGTAACAATTACCATGTGATATGTAGCGCGATATGGAGTGTGTGAGAAAGTGTCAGTTATCTGTGCATTGCTACGCAACCTTTTATTGTGGAGGCAGGTAGAATAGCTGGCAACTGATTTTATTTTGGGTAGCTGCAGAGAGAGAGAGAGAGAGAGAGAGAGAGAGTGTGTTAGTTGTCTGTGTGTTATAATGCAACTATCCACAACTGTAGCAAGAACTGATGATAAACAGTCAGAAATTGCTATATCAGGGTACACAACTGACAGGCTACTGAGACATTCAATGACCCGAGACCTAGCTCTACCACATCTCAAGTGCGCAAACCAGCAGCCTTCCAACTTGAAAGGTTCATGGTTACGTAGGAACGAAGAGGGGAAGGTGTGCGCATCTTAAAGTGCACAAGCTAAGTCCCACGGCAGCATAGAATGCCGACCGTTACAGGACGATGACGAGAACAGTTAATGACAAGACAATTCGGTCCGACTACAATTCAAATCAACAAAGCAACACATTTGCGCGGTCAGCAGTATCAGAGATAAAGAAAGGGAAAAAATTCGATGGGCTCGCGTACTGGGAAGGTCAAGAACTCG